TTATTACAAAAACAGCTTTGTACCTCACACAAAATATAAATACCAGATTTTAATATTTTCATACAGTTTGTTTTGTATCAATATGAAACATTTTGTATGTAACATTAATATCAATGCTGCAAGAAACTTATGAGTCTTAACATGTTCTTATTTAGAAACTTACTGTTAGGTCCATTTCAACTTCATAATCTTCTTCGTTCATCCATTCATTATATTCATCTAAGTCAAGCAACCAACGGGCATTCACCTAAAAACCAAATGTGCATTCAGAGAACTGTTGTTTTTCATTTATTGTATCTTCAAGTCAAAATATGAAAACTTTTAACGGAATGTTCTTCTTCACATCAAAAATACTCTGACATCTGGGAAAACAACCTATATAAACACTTACAGGTTCTATCATCTCTCTCTCTTCAAGATTACTGTTGATCACTAGGACATGTTTATTATTACACTATTAGTAATAGATTAGGTTAACAAAATGCTTTCTGACACATATCTAACTGATCTAGCAGAACATAGTGTCAAAAATTATTACTACTCTTTACATGCATATTAATCACATTCTTAAGCCAATATATCTAAATGATTGTGAAAAGTATAAACTGAAAACTAGCAAAACCTACAAAATCAGCACCAAACTGTCACACCCCTTGGAAAACATCCTCTGTCACTGACAACACACACAATACCCCTTGGAAAACATCCTCTGTCACTGACAACACACATAATACCCCTTGGAGAACATCTATCACTGACAACACACATAATACCCCTTGGAGAACATCCTCTGTCACCGACAACACACATAATACCCCTTGGAGAACATCTTCTATCACTGACAACACACATAATACCCCTTGGAGAACATCTTCTATCACTGACAACACACATAATACCCGTTGGAGAACATCTTAACATCTTCTATCACTGACAACACACATAATACCACTTGGAGAACATCTTCTATCACTGACATTAGTGACATATAGTAATAATGATTTATTTGTGTGTCAGGCTTTCTGACTTTGAGACTAAAAAACTAAGCTTATAATATGGCTTTAAATAATGCATTAATGCTGTAGCTTTTTTCCAAAACATTACAATTTTTTTTCCTATAAATTATATGGCAAACAGGCAAGTTTATGTAACTAAAGGCCAATAAATTAGAAGTATTAAAACCAATAGTCCATTTCCATACATCCATACAGACTACCTGCTTGTTTTAGTACGAGTTACACTACTTTCTAATGATACCTCTTTCTTATTACACTATAATCACCTGAACAATTACAGAACAAAATTAATCCTAACAGCAGTAAACAAACCCAAACTACTGCATCAATTTAGAGATTACTAATTCTAGTTAATAATATTTTCTGATGAATAATTTGAGTTATGCTCTAGCATCTTTACCTCATAAGGTCCAGAGCGTGGCTGAGGAGACTCGGGTTCCTGATCAATATCTATTCCAGTGACCCACGTATCATAGCTATAAGTATTCATTTGTAACGTAAGTAATACAGACAAATTTAATTTATACACAGAGCTGCATCTTTTTTTGTCAATTATTTAAAAATAAATCTTTTAGAGTTAACTTAACATCCATTCTGTGTTTTGTATATTATTAATTTTTATCATGTAATCTAGTAAATTTAGTTATTAACGCTGATCACGTAAAAAAACATAAGACTGATGTTTACAAAGGCATTTTATTTTTTTTTACGAAAAATGTTCTGCTTATATCTTCTTCAAATCAAAGTTAACCAGAAAATCAAAGAACTACAAAATATCCTCATTCTCTAGTATTAAGCAATAAAATAAATGTTGCCTGGGAAATATCTTACCTATCTGGGTAATACCACCAATGAATCATTGCACAACGCTCACGTTTCAGTACCACACGAACCCACTCTTCTGAAACAATGAAAATCATGTCTCATACTTTAGGTAGTTATATAAACACAACTATAAATAAACAATTAGGTAGTTATATAAACACAACTATAAATAAACAATTAGGTAGTTATATAAACACAGCTATAAATAAACAATTAGGTAGTTATATAAACACAACTATAAATAAACAATTAGGTAGTTATATAAACACAACTATAAATAAACAATTAGGTAGTTATATAAACACAACTATAAATAAACAATTAGGTAGTTATATAAACACAACTATAAATAAACAATTAGGTAGTTATATAAACACAACTATAAATAAACAATTAGGTAGTTATATAAACACAACTATAAATAAACAATTAGGTAGTTTTATAAACACAACTATAAATAAACAATTAGGTAGTTATATAAACACAACTATAAATAAACAATTAGGTAGTTTTATAAACACAACTATAAATAAACAATTAGGTAGTTATATAAACACAACTTTAAATAAACAACATAATCTTATAGTCACTAAAATTCACACACAATCAGCTATTTTGACTTTTATGGTTCTTTAGAAAAATACATAACAATAATTAACTACAATTTACTTCTAGTGTCAAACATCATGCATCCGCACTAACACGGCACGTGAAAAGACTGAAAATAACATCCCTTCTCTATGTCAGTTATTACTACTGCAACTTCCACACAAAGATTTGTTTTTTTTACCTTTATTTCAAGAATATTTTTTTCCTACCTAATCACGACTGATTATGTTTGTACCTATTTTTAGCTGGTAAATAAATAACTCAAGTTGATTGGTTAGGAGAAGAATGTTTTTTAGCTGGTAAATAAATAACTCAAGTTGATTGGTTAGGAGAGACGTTGTTTAAAAACTCAATCCATTCATACTTATGGAGCCCTAACAATATAAAAATAACTATTTGATATTTATTACAATACTTGGGGAAGAATGATCAAGTCACTACAGTGGATTGATGAAGTCACAGATCCTACAATACAATAGGTTTTAAAAGTAATCTACCAGATACACAAGAAATATAAAAACTTATATTGCTAACGAACCTGAACTCTCACTAGAGGATGGAGGATACACTAAATGTGTACTTTCTTCTGGACTTTCTGCAATGGTTCCTTGATGACGTTTGATTATGTCCTTGAGTCGAACAACAAGCTGCTTATCTATTTCTGGCATAATATAGATGTGAGGTAACGACAGACATTTGTTTTGAACCAAAGACTTTTCAACTGTCATAAACATTTCTACATTACGATCCATCCGGGATGGAGACTGGAAATCAAAACGACGCCTGAAATGAAAAGATTCTTTAGTAATTCTGAACTTTTCATTAGTATTATAGGTAAAATAAAAAGTCATACCCCAAATAAGAATAATAACAGAATTAAAAAAAAAGTATCTAATTGTTGATTAACTTTTCTGTAAGTACCACGAGTACTGAATGGGGCAAAAATGTAACGAAACATTATGTATCATTCCAGTTTGTTTCTCCAGTGACAAAACACTAGATACAAATATTATACAAAACTTCAAATAATTACCTTAAAGATAATAAGGTCAAGAACCATCAGTAATTCAGTTTTTCCCATAGTTCTTTAGACAGTTTCTTTTTTTCTTTTGATAATACCTAAATTTGTTGGGTTGATTAACCCTATCTATATATGGGTCACGGGTCAAAGGCCGTGTCATTGCGTTTGTTGACTTGCATTCAGTTTTATTGAACTACTATTTTATGAATGTATATCAATAAGTTTTTTATTAAATTGTAGATTATAATTCAAATTTTAGTATTATCCATTAGTTAATTTCTTATTTGAAAAGTAAATAATAAAAAAGAAACACTAAATATCAATTTTTGTGTGTCACATGGTATGCTGAATGCAGCATTGGTTCAAATTAGATGTTTACGATGCCCAAATACAAAGTCTGTAGTTTCTTACAAAATAGGAACTCAAATTACCAATATTGACAAGCGAGAATCTAAAATAAGAACCTCCTATCTTTTCTATTTGCTGAGATATCACTATATTTACCAAATCAAATACAGTGGCCCCACCCACCTCTTTACATTTTTGGAGAATCTTACGTACACCTACTTCTGTCTATAATGTGTAAATAACCAATCAAAAGCTCAGAATGTCCCCCTAGTGGCTTTCTCAGCATCTTTGAAATATTTGGAAGGCAAATTCTTTCTTTTCGTTTAGATACGAAGCGATAAGGTAAGA